GGCTTTCCACTGCCATATCGAGGTAAGAATTATTTACCTTGCTTATAATGATTACATTTTAAAATGTGTACCCATTTCATGCATTCACTGATTCGACGATCACGCCATTCATGCAACAGATCATGTTACACGAACCCCGATCCTTTTCCCGGCACCACGAATTTCAAAAGTACCGAAAAACCCATGTCAATATACGAATTAGGCAACAACTACTCTAATATGTCTTCTTGGCCTTCTTGGCCGTATTCTCAGAATGTTCTTACATTGAATGAAGAGGGTCAATTGATCGAAGTTAGATTAGATAGTATGCATTCATATATTTTAAAAATAAACCTTATAATTGCTACTTCAAAAATATAAAAATTTTCTTTTTAGGTGCCGACAGAATCGCTCATCCTTTCCATTTGGTAAAATTAGATTGAATAACTAGTAGTTTCTAAACGTCACATGGTTATATGTTATATAACCATGCGATATTTAGGTTCAGGGTTTAAAATTGGAATGCACAAAATGCACATGTGCTGATATGCAAGAATTTTGTAAAAAGATTCATGCATATAAAAAATTAAAAGCTTTTTTACAAATCATAAAATTTTTACTTGCACGTTGTAAAAGTAAAGGTTGTCCTGAATTTTAAACCCTGGTTATATTATATTTAGTCAGTAATTTTTAACAGCCAGTAGGATATCACTCACAAATATAAATTTATTTACATTTAGCATGGACATTCTTTTAAGGTTATAAAGACCCAAGAATATTTAAAAGATGAAATTATATACGAAAATCCGATTAGTCGTGACACCGCGACTGTTCCCGCACTAGGGTTAGTTTACAATGCTTTATTTATATTTTTATTCATACATTAATTTCAGCAATTTTTTTAAAAGCTCTGCAACAATTCAATTCGTGGTTGATAACCCTGGAGTTTGGGCTTTCCACTGCCATATCGAGGTAAGAATTATTTACCTTGCTTATAATGATTACATTTTAAAATGTGTACCCATTTTTTTTTTCACAATTTAAGTGGCACGTCGAAGTTGGCATGATGGCCCAATTTCTAGAACTTCCAGAAAAAATTTTAAATTTGACAAAACAAGATGGTTGGTGTGATCTGTGTATTAATAATACTTTCTTACATAGTTTGTGCATTTAGTATCCCTTGCAATGTTAAGTGTTACAAAAAATTAATTGCTTTTATTTATAAATTAAATCATTTTACATTTAATATGCTTATTATTTGATTTAAACAATATATTTGAAATAAAACAATAAAATAATAAAATATTATGAAAAATAATATATTTCAAAATTTTCAATTTCCATAAAAGTTATAGTTAGGCTTTCTTGCTCCCGAATTTATAAAACCAATATACTCATTATAACTATCATTCAGACTTTTTAACACAAGAGACCCACTAGGCCAATCAGTTGGAGTACTTGTTGAATTTTCCTTAGAATTTTGACCTTGAATTGCCCAGCGATAAAAAAGAAGAATATTTTTTCTAGGCCAAGGATTCCTTCTGGGCATCATAGGAGTAGTAATATCAGTTTCTAACCTTGTTAACCGCAGAAAAATATCATCTTTATTACTATTAACACTATTATAATCATGTAAATCTAAATATCCAGTAATCTTCCACATTGTATTTCTATAGCCCAATGCAAACATTTTAAGAACATGGTCTTGAAAGTTCAGTGAACTAGGGTCTAAAGGTTCATCAGTAGACTCGTCAATTTTAACGTCAGTAGGAAAAGTCGGTTCCATGTAAGAACTAATTTTATTTCCTTCATCCTCGGTTATCTTGACCCCTTGCTGTTTACCATCGTAAATCCAGGCGGAAAACATATTAATCTCATCATCGGTCCATGGTTGTCCATCCTTGGGCATTGTTCTTCTTTTAAC